TCGCTCAACTTAAGTCGCGCACGCTCGGTCTCCGCCGCGTGGAATGCGTCATCCGCGTCAAGCGGCAGAATCTCCAGAGGTACGCCTGCCGTTCGGGGTCCAAGAAGCCACGGTCCAGCTGCGCTGCCGCCAACGCGTCGGCGCGCCCGTTCATCGCACGTACGATCCCCTCAATCGCATCCGCATTCTTCCTACGGTCCTTCTTCAGTTCCCGAATGTCACTCACCAACGCCGCAAAGGCCGGATCACCGTGAGGGTGCAGCAGTTCGAGAGGGATGTCACGGGGCTCCTTGTCCACACCAGCCAAGTCCTCACGCAGTTGCTCGCAGGCAAGCTCGTGACAACGGTCGTTCATTGCGTTTTCCAGGTCGGCCACCTTGCGTTCGTTGCGCCGAGGGTCCTGCGCCTTCAGCTTCGCACGCTCCGCCTCCATCTGGTGGAACTTGGGGTCCTCGTCAAGCGGGAGGATCTCCAACGGAACGCCCTGAGGGTTATTGTCAAGAAATTTACGGTCGTTCGCCTTCCTCTCCGCCGCTATCACGTGGATGAGAGCGTTCATTTGCATCTTCAGCTGGAGAGCCTTGGGGTTGCTCTCGGTTTTGTCTGTCAACTCGCGCAGCTGGTTCACAACTGCGGAAAACTCGGCGTCCTTATGCGGATCAAGCGCAGTTAGAGGAATTCCCTCGGGCTCACGGTCAAGGCCTTCCAACTCCTGGCGCTTAAGATCTTCGGCGAGCTGTGCAGCACGTTCATTGAGCTTTTTCTCAATATCCGCCAGTTTGGGCGAATTTCGACGCGGCCCCTGCTCCTTGAGAATGGCCCGCTGGACCTCCAACGTGTGGAATTCCGGATCTGAGGAGAGCGGCAACAGACCCAGTGGAACGCCCAGCGGATCCTCCTCAAGGTAGCCGCGGTCACCCTCAAGACGCTCTGCCGCCATTTGCAGCAGTCGATCGTTCATCTGACGCTGCAAATCATCCTGCAACCCACGGATGGAACTCGGGTGCCGCTTCAACTCCCAAAGATCCGACACCAACGCCCCAAAGACTGGATCGTCGTGCGAGTGAAGAGCGGCAATCGGCACCCCCAGTGGCGCTTGCTGCAGCGGTTTTAAAACCTCCTCCTTTTCCTCGACTGCCAACTCAAGGGCGCGATCTTTAAGCTGGGCCTCCAGCTCAAGAATCCTTCCCGCATTACGTCTAGGTTCCTGCGCCCTCAGCTTCGCACGCTCCGCCTCCAATTTGTGGAACTTGGGGTCCTCGTCAAGCGGGAGGACCTCCAACGGAACGCCCTGAGGGTTCTTGTCAAGAAATGCACGGCCTGTTCTCAAAGTTTCCTTCGCCATCTCATGGGCACGGTCATTCATTTGTTCCCGCACGTCTTCAATGGCCTCAGTATTCCTCTTTGGGGCTTTCTTAAGCGCACGAATCTTATCCACTAGCGCCGCAAAGACGTCATCGTCGTGTAGCCGCAAGTTTTCGAGCGGAATGCCCTCGGGCTCTCTGTCAAGGTCAGATACATCTTCCGCTTTCTGCTCCTCGGCAAGTGTGGTTAGGCGTTCGTTCAGCTTGTCCTCCAGTTCCTTTAATTTCCGGGCGTTCCGGGGCGCATACGACGCCTTGATACTCGCCCTCTCGACTTCCAGCGCGTGAAAGGCGGGGTCGCCGCCAATCGGGAGCACAGCCAGCGGTATTCCGCACGGCTTGGGATCCAAGTAGCCGCGGTCGCCCTCCAGCAGCCCCTTTGCAACCTCATGCGCTCTGTTGTTCAGGTCGAACTCAAGATCGCTGATGATCTCTTTGTTCTCACCCGGATCCCTCCGCAGATACCGAAGCTCCTCCTCCATCTTTACGAACTCGTCATCGTCGCCAAGCCGCAGCAGCTCCAGCGGAATGCCCTCTGGGTCGGCGTCGCAGAACGCCTTGCGTGACTCGTTGACCAACTCGGCGGCACGCCGATTCATCGCATCCTCAAGCTCCTTCAGCCGCGCTATGGCCTTGGCGCGACTGCCCGGGGCCGCTCGCAGCGCACGCGCTTCCGTCTCCAAGGCATTGAACTCCTCGTCGGTGTTTAACGGCAGCGACGAGAGCGGAACCCCCTCGGGGCACTGGTCCAAAACGCTGCGCTCCTTCTCATGCAGCTCTTGCGCCATCTCGCGTGCCCGCGCATTCAGCTGATCAACAATCTCCTCTAGCTTGCCGCTGTTGCGGGGGTCCGCGACAAGCTCGCGGAAATTGTCCTCCAGGGCGTGAAAGCGTTCATCGCCGTCAAGCGGAAGACACTCCAAAGGAGCTCCCAACGGACGCGAGTCGAGCAGGTTGCGAAGCTCCTGCTTCAGCCCTTTCGCAAGATCCGATGCCCGGTCCTGCAGTTGATTTTCAATCTCCTCAATCGCCGGCGCGTTCCTCCGCGGGTCGCTGCTCTTCAACGCAGCACGCTTCGCCTCCAAACGAGTAAATTCGGCATCGTCGTCAAGTGGCAAATGACGCACCTGTACACCCTCCACCTCATCACCCAGAAACATACGGTCCTGGCGAACAGCATCGGCAGCCATCTCCTCAGCACGCGTGTTGAGCGCCGCCTCCACTTCGGCGATCTGTGAGGCGTTTTTCTTTGGGTCATGGCACAGGTGAGCACGCTTTGCCTCTAGGCGGCCGAACTCCTCGTCATTGTCTAGGGGCAGCTCTGTTACAGGAACCCCATGAGCAGTGGGAACAAGGTAGCTTGGACGCGCCGTTGCGTTCATCTTCTTCGCCAACTCATGGGCGCGATCATTCATCATCTGCTCTAAATCGGCTAGCCGATCTTCGTCGGCGTAGGGATTTTTCTTCAACTCCCGGCGTTGTCGTTCAAGTCCAAGAAAGGTCGGGTCCGTGTTTAACGGGATCTCTGACAGGTAGCGGCCCTCCGTTTCAGCTTCTAGAAAGTCGCGCTCCTTCTCCACCTTTGCCTGCGCCAGCTCCAACACCACGGCATTTAGTCTCTCTAAGGCATAACTGATTTCGTTGGCATTTTTTTGGGGCTGCTTCATCAAATTAAAAACCTCCCTTTCCTGCGTGCAAAACTTTTCATTCTTGTCGAGGGAAAGCTCCTCAAGGGGAACTCCCAGTGGATTTTGTTCCAGCTTCATTCGACTGTCAGCCTTTATCTTTGCAGCCATGTCTTCCGCACGTTTTTTCATGGCATCCGCGAGGTTGTGCGCCTTCGAGGTATCCTCACCGTCACCGACAGCCTTGAGATACTCCACCTCGAGATCCCCAAAGGGCATATCGTCATCCAGCGGCAGAATGGCCCGGGGAACACCGCTGAGAGCCTCCTCGAGCACCGTGTCACGCTCCCGAAGCTTCATTTCCCGTGCCAGCTCTTTTGCGCGACTGTCCAGCTCCTCTTCAAGACTTTTAATTTTTTCTTTATTTCGCCGCTGATTCTCTGCCTTGCACGCCAGACGCTCTACTTCCTTTTTGTGAAAGACCGCATCCTCGTCAAGGTGCAAGTATTTAAGCGGGATACCCTCGGGTTCAGGATTCATAAACAACCGCTCATTCTGAAGCTTCTCCTGTGCCAGCTCTTCGGCGCGAAGATTCAGCGCATCCTCCAAATCCTTAATTTTGGCAGCGTGCCTATCTGGGCTCCGCGTAAGCTGTGCACGTTTCGCCTCCAGTTTTGCAAATTCCTCATCGGTATCCAGCGGCAAATCTTCAACTGGCACACCCTTGGGCATAAGATCAAGATACTTTTTTCGCTCAGCGGCATTTAATGTCATTGCCACTTGGTGGGCCCGTTCATTCAAAAGTTCCTCAAGGTCTGCCATCTTCTGCGCATTCTTCTTTGGGTCCTTCTTCAGTTGGTACCGTTCCTTCTCGAGTGCATGAAACTCCTTGTCGTTTCGTAGAGGAAGATCTTGCAACAAGCGGCCCTCAGGTTCGGGATCCAAATAGTTACGATCCTGTTCAAACACTCCTGCAGCAATTTCGTTCACCAACTCGGACATCTCGCGTTCAAGGGCAGCCAGAGCTTGTCTATTCCGCGCTGGGTCCTTTCGAAGCTCCCTCAGTTGAGTCTCCTTCGCCATAAACGCCTCATTCCTGTCAAGTGGGAGTTCTTCAAGGGGAATGCCTAGGGGCTCCGGATCCAGGAAGGCCCGCTCATCCGCCAGTAGCTTCGCCACAAGCTCCAAGGCCCTTTCATTCATGGCGTCCTCCAGGTTGCTGATGGCTGTCGCATTCTTGACAGGGTCCTCACGCAGCAGCAGTCGCTGAATCTCCATGTCATGAAACGGGCCGTCGCTGTTGATCGGGACATTCTCAATCGGCACGCCGTTAGGCTTCGGGTTCAGAAACTTCTCCCGCTCAGATGTCTTCAGGTCCTCAGCAAGCTCGGCGGCACGGTCCAAGAGGTCTTCCTCCACTTCACGGATCACCTTTGCGTTCCGCTGGGGGTTCTTCTTCAGTTGGGCACGCTTCGCCTCGAGCGCCTGAAACGGAGCGTCGTCGTCGAGGTGAAGAAGCGACAACGGAAC